GNGGGGGGGTTGGGGGCCGGGGCCTGTCGAAAAAGGGGAGAAGGTGGGAATGGGAGGGCGGGAGGAGGAGGACTCTGGGGAGGAGCCTTCATGCCATCCATGCGAGGGTCACCGAGGGTTCGGGATTCCGTTCCATCGCTTTCCTGGACTTCCCCCCCGCACTTGGTGGTGGTGGTGGGAACCTCCCACCTCCCAGGTCCTTGTGTTCTGTGGATGATGTCCCCCTTCCCATCGCCCTCTTCGCCCTCTCCCCCTTCTCGCAACCCCTCCTACACACATCCCGCTTATCCACATTGCTAAGTATGCTGCACTCCTCCACACCTTCATACGTAACGCTCGTGCCGTACATACCCTCCCCAGGCGGTGGCGCGCGCCTCCCGTCTGCAGGACCGCCTCCGCCGCAGCGGGTCGGCGCTGACGTCAGCCCGCCAGGAGGCCGCTGCGTGCCGGCTGGTCCGTGACAGGGCGGAGGTGGCGGTGGCGGGCATGAGGCGGCTGGTGGAGGAGATGTACACGTCCAGGGCGTCAGGGCAGCTGGAGCAGGCGCTCCAGGTGGGGACCGGGGCCTTCACCTCGGGGGTGTGTGGAGTGTGGAGTGTGGGTGTGGGGTGGGTGGAAAAGGGGGGGGGAGCTTTCCCGGGGTTGCACGACGGGGTAAAGATGTGTTTTGATTCATGAATTCAAGCAGGGGTTGGGTTCGTGGATCGGGTGTGGGGTGTGTGGGTTGTGTGGGTTGCGGATGCGGGAGGGGTGTGCGCGCGGTGTGTTGGGGTCTTAATCTCTGTCCGTGCCTGCGTCGGGCTCGAACTTAAGTTGGGGTGAGAGTGAGACATGGGCGGTTAGTACACACCTTACCATTGTTTCTACGATACACGTACGGCACTTCTCCCCCACACTTCTCAGCCGCCGTTGCAAAAAGCCCATATGCTGTCCATTCGCAAATCCCCCCCTCCCCCCCCGCACACACACACGATGCGATATACCAGGAAAAGCTGGAGGCATTCCTGCGGCATTACGCCAAGCAGCAGTCCTCCCCGCCGCCGCCGTCACAGCAGCGACAGACTGCCGCCGCCGCCGTTGCTGCCGCTACTGCCGCTACTACTGCTAATGCTACGGGAGGTGATGGTGGTGGTCGACACTGTGGGAGCAGCAGCACACTCGGGTTCGAGTCCAGTACTGCCTCCCACCCGCCCAGCTGTAACCTCCCCACCACCACCACCACCACATCCACATCCACCACGACCGCCACCTCCGTCACCCTCTCCGGCGCCCCCGTCGCCGCTACTGCCGCTGGCGCCGCCGCCGCCGCCGCCGTTGCGGCGGCCCCTCGTCTGGCAAGCCTCAAACGAAGCGGCCAGGAGCTGCAGTGGCAGGGGCAGAAGGCGGGTTGTACGGCTGCACGGGAGGCGACGCCGTCGTCGCCATCCCGGTTAGCTGCCGCCGGAGGGCAGGGGTTGACGCTGCCGTCAACATTACCGCCGCCGCCGCCGCGGAATGGCGGCGCGGCACTGGAGGTTCTGCCTGCGGGGCTGGCGGCTATCCTGGCGGCCGCTGGCGGCGGCGGCGGCGGCGGCGATGGGCGCCAAAGGACCGGCAGTGTGGATGCGAAGAAAGGAAGATTGCAGGCAGGAGATCGCGACGATGACAAACGCGTGCGGGGCGAGACGCCGGCGGGTTTCCGGCGGGTGTGTCGCCGGCTGCAGGCGCACGCGGCGCTGATGGTCGACGCCGCTACTCGGGTCGGCGGCGGCGCCGCCAGCACCCGGACAGGTCGGTACCGCGCGCAGATCTTGTCTTCGTCTACGTCGCCGTGCGTCAGTAGCAGCTGCGGCGGCCGCGGCGGTGGCGGCGGCGGCGGTGGCGGCTCCGTCAACAGCCCTACGGGCTCCACCATCTCCGCCGCGACGACCCCACTAAGGTACGGCAAGGTACGACCTTCCGGGACGATCAACCATGTGCGATCTGGGGTCGCGCCGGCGAGATTAGAACCGCAGCATTCGCATCGCCGTGGTAGCGGCGGCGGCGCCGCCAAAGGCTCAGCCCGCCGCGAACGTCCGTCAATCACTCCGGCCCTCCGCGCCAGCGTGATGCAGTCGTTGCCAGAGACGGCGGCGGCGGCGGCGGCGGCGTCCCCGTTTCCATGGTATCACGGTAACTCCCCGGCGATGATGCATGACCGCGGGAACATGTGTACGACATTCGTCCCACCTCAAGCGCGTGCATTCCAAAATGACAATGACGACGATGATGGGGAGGATGATAGCGATGACGACAGTGATGACGATGAGGATGACGATGAGGAAGGCAGCGGCGCCAACGGCG